CTACATTTAGTTTTTTAGTGACACAACTTAAACGTGGTGTAAATGCCTTCTTACCTGTTGGTGACGGCGGTTTGTTCTACGGGTCACAGCAGCAGCAGCGATACAAGTCAACATTTTTACAGTCAGTTTGGAAGACGATCAGTGAAATTTAACTTGTATGAAACTCATTATGTAAAATGTAAAAGACTAGATGTCCTATTTGGCATGTGCAGCCACATGTGAATGTTCAAAAAGAAAATATAAAAGTTAAGAAACACAGTAGGAAAGAGTTCTAAAATATGACGTTAACGTCTGCGATAAAGTCTAAACTTCAGATTGTGCTGAAACTGTCAGAGAGGAAGTGAGTAAACTCTGGATGAAGCTGTAGTTTATGTTGCTAGAATACAGCGGTTCCACACAAAACATGGTCTAGATCAGGGGTGTCCAATGCTGGTCCTCGAGGGCCACAATCCTGCATGTTCTAGATGTTTCCTTCTTCCAACACACCTGATTCACATGACCAGGATCGTTATCAGGCTTCTGCAGAGCTTGATGATGAGCTGATCATTTGAATCAGGTGTGTTGGAAGAGGGAAACATCTAAAACATGCAGGACTGTGGCCCTCGAGGACCAGGATTGGACACCCCTGGTCTACATGCAACATCATCTTCCCGTTTTATTCATCACAGACGTTTTATGATGGATCGGGCTACTTGGTACCTTTGCTTTCCGTCCATCCTACGAGCGCCAAATCTGAAGGCAAACTAGAAACTGCTGCAACATTTTTTTTTAAATATAAACTTTCCTCGTGTCCAATTGATCAGCACACAAAGCTGTTTTTAACATTTCTAAATGCAACAGGAGTGAACAAATGCTGGATACAGAACAGGATTCACCACTCCTACACTCTGCTGTCATCAAACCAGAGACTAACAAGATGGTGTCATCTAGTGGTGAAAGACTTCAAGTTACATAAATGGCCTGGCAATGGAGACCTTTATTGTAAAATTAGATTTCAGAACATGATAATGAACATTTGCATTTTCAAAAGCGTATTACTGGTCGGCTGTACAACATACGGTAGTTTAAAAACTGACAATCTGAGTTTTAAAAAAAAAAAGGAAATGAAACCCAAGTAGTCCAAGACAAATTCTATTTGAGTACCTTGTTCAGCAGGTTTCTAAATACAGTGAGCACGCTAACACGACTAAAAGCAAAAGGTAAAAGGAATTTCTTTAAATGTCAATAGTCTCTTATAAAAACAATTACTTTTTTTCAAAAATACAAAAAAAAACAAACAGTCAAAAGACCCCTAAAAATCTATCAAAGTCACTGTAGTCAGTTAAATGAAACAACAGTTGAACACATTAAAGCCAACTGTCACCTGGTCGAGATGCAAACACCTTCACAGAGAATCATCAACTTGACATCTGCAGGTAAAAGTCTGTACACGCTAAGGCACTTGTGGCAGCCACAATGGTTTACATACATGAACAGGCGCGTGACATTTCATCCGTGCACCTCTTCCCTGTTAGAAAAGTATACAATCACATTCAGCATCAATTTCTGACGAGTTCAACATTAACTATGAAACGGATCGAATCAGCACAGCCAATCAGCAGTGTGACTAATATTTACAGTCTGAAAAACACGAGTGGTGTTTCTAAAATAGATCAAAGCTGCATCATTATTGAACTTAGTAGCTCACGGCGCCGCTGGTTTTACACGACCAGGCTCTCCCGACTCACTGCTCCATTCTGCAACACAAGAAAAGTCCTGTTTAGTCAACCAGCAGATAAAAATCAACCTAAATCCTCATTTAATAACATTTTAGACGAATGTCAGGTCAAGACAATCCACTTGAATTCAAAACATAAAGCTTTAAAATACAAAAAATTTCAATATTAAAAAAAGGCCTTTTTAGTTTTACTAAAAAGCTAAAATAATAATAATAAAATAAAAATGATATTTTAAGTGCTATACATTTGTATTAATTGTTTCTAAAACTACACAAGAAGTACTTTTTTTTTGGGGTGATCTTCGGCCACATATTCATACAGTGTCATGGTTGAATATTAACAGGTCTTCAGCTAAACTACACTGCTAATGATAAGAAAACACGTCAGTCTGTGTGTTCTTGTCTGATTTAGGGTGGCGCTCTATGGCACAACGGAGAAACCTTGTGAGGTTCAGCTCACTCGTGAGTTTGATCTTATTATAAGACTTTGTGAAAATAAGAAAAATGTAGACTATCTTAACATTTAAGTGGCTGTCTTAGGGTCTGTCCCATCAACCTTGATTTTTCCTGAAAAAGTCCTTGACAGAGTTGAACCTCCTACTTAATGTCATTGTGAAACATCCCTCTGATGAATGTGCAGATAGTTCATCTGTGACTCGCCTTGCGGAGGTTGCTTTTCTTTGAAGATGACACACTTTCATCTTCACTGTACGGCGGTGGTGGTGGAGGCGGGTAGTCGTCGCGGCGACCAGGGTATCCGGAGGGTGGGCTCACAGGAAGAGGCGGTGGCCCACGTGGCGCCCTTGACCGCTCAGAGCGGTCGCTCTCGCTGTCCAGTCGCTCCCGGCTGCGAGCCCTCTGCTGCTCGCCCATCTTCTTCCTCTCCATGGCTTCTCGCAGGAAACTGTCATCGTAATCGTCTCGGCCACCCCTGGCACCACCGCCGCCGTGCCGCCGATCCCTCTCCAGCTCCATTAGATCATCACGACTGCGACTGCGGCGTCCCGCGAGGCCACCTTCGCCTCCTCTCCGACGATCAGGGGAGTAGTCGCGACGTCTGCGGTCGTCATAGTTGCGATCGTAGCCGCTACGAGCGCTGCTGCTCCACTCGTCTTCCGAGCTAAACAGACACAAAGCAGTACTATTAGAGCAACAGAAACACTCCGGGGACAGATACTCCATCATTAGATGAGCCAACGAGGAGTTCACAACAACCTAAAGTTGAGTTTAGACCTCGTTGCTGCATCCTCAGCAGCCCACCAGATGGAGACAGAAAACTCACTGTATTTAAAATGCATGCTGCTCACATTGAAAGGGAGGCTGAGGGCCGCAATATTCATCCATCCATCATCTATACACCACTTAATCCTCACTAGGGTCTCGGGGGGCTGGAGTCTATCCCAGCTGACTCAGGGTGAAGGCAGGAGACATCACAGGGCTACACTTAGAGACAGACAACCACTCACATTCACACCTACGGACAATTTAGAATCACCAATTAACCTCAACATGGTTTTGGACTGTGTGGGAGGAAGCTGGAGAACCCAGAGAGAACCCACGCTGCACGGGGAGAACATGGAGACTCCACGCAGAAAGGACGCGAACCGGCGACCTTCTTGCTGCGAGGCAACAGTTCTAACCACCGATCCACCTTGCAGCCCCTCAATATTTACCATATTTTAACGTTTCTAATCCAGCCGTTCAACCAGTGACACTCACCAGATGATCACTGGCAGTCGTGTAAAATATCTTGGAACGGATATCGAAAGCATGATTGTAATCTGACAAACCCCACTGAAGTGTAAACTCAGAAGGTCCCAGAGAGGGTAATAATCCTTTTGATGCATGTATCATCTGGAAATATTACATAGTAAGTTTTGTCAGCTGGTCTGACTAATAAAACAGCTGCTCCAAGTAGTGGGACATTGGGGCATCGTGAAAAACAAAAAACTAAACCGAACAAACAAACAAAACCAAAGGAGAACAAACTGTCTCCTGAATGAAAAAATGATTCTCTGAGGATGATTTACGTATGTGAAGTCAGGAAAAAGTTGGGAATAAAATGAATCATGAAAAGAAGGTTCAGCTTTAGGGTCTTTTCATCTCAAATCGGACAACTTTTTAAACAATTTCTTGTCCTCAGCTTGAATTTGCCTGAAATCTTTATGGCATAAAAAAAGGATATTTATAAAAATGTTTGTGGGTTTTCTTTAGATTGATTTATCAAATACTTTCTCAAGATTTGTTTCCTTTCAAATTGCCTGTCGACTGACTTTCAGCTTTTTTTGCACTTCGACACGTGAGGTTTGCACAACAATGCTTTGACAACTGCTAACGGTCATTCCGGCTCATTAATGCACAGCTCATGTAGGTCTCTCTTTTGCAAAGTAATTTTGACTCGCTAGCCTTATCTGGTGAGCAATCAGAAGGCCACATATCAGGTATGAAACCATGAAGGGCGTTTCCAAAAAAAAAAAAAAGACGAAGAAAAGAAAAGCTTGTGGGTTTTTTTTGGGGTGAAGTAAGTGGGTGTTCTGATTGCACTTCTACTCATTTCTGAGAAAGGCTCATTTTTTTTTCTACACAGCTTAATACAGCAGATTTAACCACATCAACTACAGTATGCAGTAAGACTTGGGGGGTGTAACGCTCCACCTGGCTCGCGCCTTCAACTCAAAGATCACCCGGTTTTGTGGTTTCTGCAGCGGTTGAATTGAGACTCTATGAATCTGCTGAACTGACATATGCCTTTTCAAACTGTTGTATGGAAGAATAGCTCTAAAGTATTTAAAGTTACAGTATGAAAAAAAAAAAAAAGCAAAACCAGGCTTCTGTTTGGCTCCTTCTTCTCTTGTTTTGTCTTTCCTGAATCTGAAAACTGAAGCCAAAGTTAAAATGCCTTGATCTTCTCCATACACTGACACTAAGCATTGTGCTTTTTTGGCATTTTTTAACAATCAAATTGGTAAAATACAACATGCACACAATAAAAAGGCCCAACAGTGATTGATGTAATTGTTGTGAAACTTCAATGAGTCATGTAGCTTCATACAAAATGACAGAAACTAAACGGTTTGATGCTATTATTATGGAGGAGTTCGGTCCCAGCAGAGACTGCATTTCCTGAGGAAGCAAAAACCAGCCTCTCTTCCTACCAGCATCCTCAGGACTTCCTACAGAGGTGTGGTGGAGAGTGACATCCTGCATCTCAACAGCTGCAGTGTGTCAGACAGAAAAGCCCTGCAGAGGATAGTTAGAGGCGCTGAGAGGGTCATCGGAGTTTCCCTCACCGCTGCCCAAGAACTTCTCCAGAGCCGCTGCAGGAGCAGGACTCCTCACAGCCTCTCCATGAACTGTTTGAACTGCTGCCATCAGGCAAGTGTTTCCACTAAAGGAAGAACCTCCAGAGTGATCAACAGCTTCATGACACAAGCTGCCAGAATGCTGAACTGCTGATCTGGATATGACTTGTTTATTTAAATTGCTTTAAGTGATTGGATCCGGAAGAAACGCTCTCTCTCATCTCGCCTGTACTACTGTGTGTGTACAGCTACATGACAATAAACTTGATTTGATTTGAAGATCCATGTTTCACTACAAACAAAGCAAGTTAAGTTCCTTTACACCTGCTCCGCTTCATATTGACGCTAAACTACAGCTACGCGACGTCGCCTCTCGTAATGTAAATGTTGGGAACGAGTGACGTCGTTGTTTTATCTCACTCAGATAAGTGGAACAAAATTAGAAATCAAATGAAAGGAAATAAAAATCTGAGCTTCTTACTGTGGTGTCATTATTACACTGGTGCAGCTTTTATGTCGCCTACCAAACAAAGAAACAAGAAAAAAAAAAAACCACACACACACACTCGCAACAGTGGAAAACCCCAAACCTATTGCGCAAACTCAACTTAAAGAAACAGTCGTCTACGTGAGAAAAGAGGACACCGAGCTGAAATGAAGGTACCAAGACACTTGATATATTACTGTGAAGTAAATACACACAACATACAACATGTGGTAGTAAAAAATACATAAATAAAGCAGATATTTTATACACACTACAGCAACAGGAAGTAACAAATTTCAATCGATGCATAAACTCTGCAGTGAGACACACCTGTTACTATGACAACGATTTGTGACGCTATGACAACAATGGTTGCGAAATCCCTCCATATGTTGATCAAGAAGTCTGTCTGTGCTTTCTGGATGTACTGGGCCTCTACTGAAGGCCCAGCAGTGATCGCTGCGTGTCTGAATCACAGACATGCAACTACAACAAGAGTCCAAAAAGGAATTAAAAAAAAATAAATTTGCTCCTTTAATTCAGCCTAATTTGTCTGTACAATATTATTTAATGTACTAAATAAAAAATGCACCAAATGGAATGCTGATGGTAAAAAAGGGAGTTTACTGAGGGAACCTACAGCTTCTGAAACTATTTCTGCTCACACACTTGGATGTGCCTGACAGTTTAATAGCATAAAAATATAACTATTTATTAAGATTATTTATTTTAAATATTTAAGTACTTTATGAGAATTATTCTTATTCTTTTTTTTTTTAATGTCTGTCGACTCACTCCCGGCATGTTTCCTTTTTTTTGTTTTTGCATATTGAAATTTGAGGCTATGTTTACGCAACAATCTTTCAGGAACCGTTCAAGACATTTTCACTGTTTTGCTCATCATGCCATTGATTCAGAAAAAGGAAACAATTTAAATGAAGAGGTGTGCTAGTGATATTTCTGAATCATATGTAGCTGCATGTCACAGTCATACAAAACAAGACATGGAACACTTTTAAATATCACATGTTTGGTCACAAAAATGAAGCATTTAATCTAAATACCTGGTTGAGCAGATATGACACGTTCTACCCCAAAACTAAAAATCTAATCGAAGTAGAACAGAGTTCTTGAGTTTCAAAATGTCTTTCCAAAGTTCTATCCATCCATTATCTATACACCGCTTAATCCTCACTAGAGTCATGGGGGGCTGGAGTCTATCCCAGCTGACTCAGGGTGAAGGCAGGGGACACGCTGGACAGGTCACCAGTCTATCACAGGGCCACACTTAGAGACAGACAACCAAGCACACTCACATTCACACCTACAGACAATTTAAAATCACCAATTAACCTCAACATGTTTCTGGACTTGTGGGAGGAAGCCGGAGAACCCGGATGGGAGAACATGCAGACTCCAAACAGAAGGATCCCGGGTGTCCTCACTGGGATGCGAACCAGCGACCTTCTTGCTGCGAGGCAACAATGCTAACCACTGCTCCACCTTGCAGCCCCTCTCCAAATATAACTAAAATATTTTCATTGACTTAACATGAGCATATCTGTAATGTTTGGACTCCACTTTGTAGGCACAAGCCTTCGTTTGGAGGGGATTTATCATGTAGTGTTGGGTATGCTCTTTGGACATTATACCCGCACTAGGATGAGCATAACATGACCAAATCCATACATCTATTATGTAGTGGAATTTTAAATACCCATAGCTAGTGATAAAAAGAAAAATCAGAGATGGTCAAGTAGTAGACCCCTGATGATTTGAGAAGGAACAAACCCTCAGGGAATCGAGACTCACCCTCTCCTGCCTCTCGGCTCATCCGGGCGTCGGTGTGGTGGGTAGTCGTCTCGGGGGTATCGCCGTCCGATGTCGTCGAGGTTGTCCATGGAGCGGGCGCGCACGCGATCCCCCATGTAGCCTCCACCGCGGCGTGGGTAGTCGTCCCGCCGGTGGCCTTGTTGGGAAACACTGCTGATGGTGCTCATGGCTTCATCCCGGTCATAGACTGTGGCCAGAGGTGGGGGCTGGGAACGTCCTCCGCGGCCTCGAGGCTCAAAGCCATCGTGCAGGGAACTGACTTCAGTCATGTTGTCCACTGAAAGAGGAAAACCAGAGCAGATGAGACACTAAGCAAAACAGAGGGAATTAAGATGGTGTTTAGTTGTAGAACAGGCAAAGCAAGCAGCTAATTAAAGCCTGTGCAGCCATCAAGATAAGATAAACTGCACTGATCGATCCCTCACAGGAGAAATTTACATGTTAAGTAGTTACATACAGATGAGGCACGGAAGGAGCAGGAAAAGAATTACAAAGGTACAATCAGGCTTACAATAAAGATATAATAAAGACAATGTACACCTGCCACATGTACAGATAAGGCATGATTGATAAAGTACTGAAGGACACACACGGTGTATAGAATTGTAGTTTTATACAAAATAGCAGTGCTGGCAGTTCTGTTATTCTGTTAAGAGAAGAAAAAACAGTGTTAGCATGATGTTAATGCACATCAAGAGTTGTAAGACAACAGTGTTACGTTGTGATGTTGATCTGGAAGAAATAAAAGATGCAAGACGAAAGAAATAATCCTTTCCCACTTATAGGGAGACAACAGGGTGTACGAAGAGCTGTACGGAGAAAAACAGTGTTAAGAGATGGTGCACTGGAAGAGCTAGAAGTGATGCAGTTGCATTGGAAGAGCTACAGGATGAGAAAACAGCGTTAGAAAGTGCCAGCATATTAAAGTAATAAGCGAAGAAGATAAAAATGTAGGTACAAATACTTTGAAAGGAGAAATGTTAAAAAAAAAAATAAAAAAATGCTCCTTTTATGTTTTAAACTGTTCACCACAGTAGAAAAGTGACACAGCTACTATAGGTGGAAAATAACAAAGCGGACTTAAAGAAAAAAAACACTTTAAAACACTTTGGCGCTCTCTAATAAAAGGCAGAGTTTGTGTTAACAGCGTCCAGATGAGAACTGAAATAATCGATGCACGTCACCGACAAAGATACGAAGCAAACTGACACAAACACACACACACACACACACACACACACACAATCCCCACTTCGTCTGGAGGTGCTACATAAAGCAGTGTAAAAAATGTTCCCGGAAGAGCTGTAAAGAGAAGAAACAGCATTACACGATAAAGAGTGTCATGCTTGAAGGGCTGTGAAGCGAGAAAAAAAAGAAAAAGAGCCTCACGTCTTTTGTGGAGCGGTAGGAGTGCCAAATTACAAAAAATAGATCAATGGAGGAAGGATGGAATAAAGGTGGAAATAAAAAGAAGAATAAATTAAGTAAATTAAGTATCTGCAGTCTTCCTCGTGATGTGTGTCATACTTTATACAGTTAACGATATATTCACTTTTTATGAGAAAATCATGGCCTTGCAAATTATGCATCCTCTCATTTCTGGAACTCTGATCGGAACTGAACTGTCCACCTGTCATGTGCAAAAAGTTTCAGCCAGTCAGAGTAAAACCGAAGTGTTGACAAGAATCGAAAGTCGCTCCACCTCCACCTCCACCTCCACCTCACAGTAAATGTGACATCATTTATAGGTTTTCCCCCTGAAATCCACTCCATGTTTCTAATGGCACTGATTAAAACATCTCTAACATCTAACAAAAAGAATAAATACACCATTTGTAAACAGTCAATAACATGATTCCAGCTCAGCCTTAAAGTGACATTTAAATCCTTTCCTGATCATTGATTCAATCCCTAAAAACTCTACCATTGTTAGATATTTAGATGTTGTCTTTGCCATTGAAAACAATCTCTTCCTGCCTTAAAGTGGCTGAGATGCAACTCTACACCTTTTCTTTCTCTGGAATGTGTGAATCTAAGTAGTGCATGCTTCTCTTTCCAATCATCCATCCTAACACAAGGTAGCTTGAGCTCACGAGCTCAGCCACCACTCAAACACAGTAAAACCGCTCTAAACAAATTCAAGCTGCAGTTGTGAGTAATTCAGCCATACACGTTCGAGCCAGAAATCGATTCTGAGTCAAGCCCAATCCCGCAAGTTGACAGGCCTGGTTTCTTACGTTTGTTATGTATGAAACCTTGGCGTTGTGTTATGACTTTGTCTTCGGTACACTGCGGTTTGAAGGTGCAAATGGCATTGACCGTTTATTTTGCTCATGGGGATCTTCAAATAAAACGCTGTCGACTCTGACGCCGTTAACAGCCCAGCGAGCCGGGACCATGTGTAAAACTTCACGGGGAGATTTTTCTGCTGCCAGCTCGTGCTGAAGTTTCTTCAGTGTCACCAGTTAACCGATGCAGCACATGTCCTCTCAGTCAAAAGAAATCTGAAAACACACTTTAAAGCCTGTGCTCTGTTCATTCATTTACTATCTGCTGCACTGTCTGTTCGTCTAACAGCCTTTTGTTTAAAAAAAAAAATGGAACACTGAGGAAATACTCAAGACAATTCAATATTAATGCGACTTTCAGCTGACTTACACTCTCATCACATGACATCCTGCTATTATTTCACAAAATGTTGTGAACCTGAGTAATGATTTGAAGGATTTTGTCTACATCAGATCATAACAACAGAGAATAGCTCAAGACATACGACTAATCCACTTTATTTAAATTTGATCACAGGTGATGCTGCATGCTGTCATTTATAAAAATATTACGACGACTGCAAAACTGATTTCAAATGTGATCACTCATCTCTAGTCAGGATAACATGGGACGCTCTGCTGACAAAGCAATGCTATAAAAAAAAAAAAGGATACTTGGTGTTTGGGTTTAAATCTAATATACTATTGATCCGTGCCAGTATAACCCCTGTGACAGGGCTGCTGGTCCAGCTCTCCGTTTCTGGGGTTAGGTTCTACCCTTGGATTCTGTAGACCTGCTTAACCCTTTCAACACTATAGGCCACTATGCCGGTCTGCGGTTTTCAACCCGTCCACCCTGCAGACCACTTTACCGGTCTGCCGCTTTGATCCCGTCCACCGGGCGCCGGTATATGGCGACTTTGGGGAATCGGGTTTTCTTGTCATTTTTTTTTTCTTTTTTTGACAATTTTTTTAATACTGTAAAACACTTTGCGTTGCTCCATGTATGAAAAGTGCTATATAAATAAAGTTTAATTTGATATTCCTAGTAGTTAAAGCCAAAGTTACTCAGTGTTGAAAGGGTTAAGCTGGTGTCGAGGAAACTCACCTAGCTTCTAACGGCCTTAATCCAGACGCCTACCTCGCTTCTTCTTATAGTTGACTCAACTAACTAGCCTCAGCAGTCAAATCACTCCAGCAGACACGCCTGTTCGTGGCAGCTTTCCTCTTAAATGGATCGAGCACTTGGTAATTGCTCGGTTCTCTCTTCCTTTAACTCATCTCCCCTTCATAACACAGAACTGCACATAATTCTGCAAAATCTTACTCAACTGCACAACATGTTGGAGGAAATGTAAACCACAGACAGAACAGCACCTGACTTCTCAGCTGTTTCACCAGAAGTTGATTTATCGCTACCCACAGCAGTCTGCGGCGGAGTTAACACAGAACTGCAATCAGAAGAGCAGGAAGTGATAAGAGACTCACGGCGGTTGTAGTTGGCAGCTCTGGATGGGTCCAATTTGGCCAGTTCCTTCTCCATATAGTAAATGGCACGGGTGGCGTTGCCATCAGGGTCGACCTGGATGCGATAGCCACTGCGAGCTGGACGGAAGGGAAGAGAAAGCGCACTGAATCACTGGGCTGCATGAGAGAACATTTTTCCTCTTTAAGTCTTGTTTATATTAACGTTTCAAGGCAGATTCACCAAACCCTCTCATCCCTGTGAACTCCAGCAGTGGGTGTAAAAGGGCATGTTCCATTTATGTTTGTTGTCAGCAGGTAATTTGATGTGGATTATTATTATTATTGTCTGGACACATGGTGCATATGTAGAGGGCACAGGTGACAGGAAGAGGAGGTAGTGAGAGAGCCAACAGTTTTCACCAGATCAGCATCAAGCCTGCACGGACACCAAACTCACAGTAGGAAAAAAACGCTATATTTTCATGTGTATCATCGAATAAACATCCACTAACGGCAAGCACACGGACCGGAGATTCTGTTTTTTTGATCTGCGGCGGTTCACTCTGCTCCACCTGTGCAGCAACGGCAATTACAGGACGTGGAAAAATTGCCATTACACCGACATTCTCAAAGCAGGAGTTGGATTTTCAACCTTTCGACGCACCTGTTGCTCTGTTGGAAGAAATATCCTAATCCAAGCTTACAATGAGACCAGACCATATCCCCTCGATCTCAATCAGCTGACTCGACCTCTGAATTCACAAATCCGCCTTCTCTAAGCTGTGAATCATAAGTGAATCACTGATACTGGACTAGTTTAACTGGACTTTTACATTTTGGCTTGACTTCATTAGCGATATATGTGTCATAATCCTTCATTTGGCATTTCTAACAAATAGTTTTTTCCCACCTATGGCTCCTATTTCACCCCCAGCTGTCAGAGGAGAGGATTCAAAATGTCCTTGCCTAATAAATTTTAGTGGAGGGTCATCTTCTTAAAAATCTTGTTTAGGAGCTGTTGAGAAACATTTTACAGCATGTACTGGGCTATACACATAAACTCCACTCTGATGTGCTCTTATTTACATATACTACACGACATTCAAGAATTCTAAAACATTTGCACCAGATTCTTTGAAACTAACTAAATAAATAAACTTAAAAAAAAATCTTTGCCACAACCGGGGAGCCATTAGTGACTCAACTGCAAAGCAACAGTCAAGCAAAAATTTTAGGGACTTTTCGGTATACAGAAGGCAAGAATGAGAGCATACTTAAAATCCAAGTAAAACAAACATAGTGTGTCGTGTTTTTTTTTTTTTTAAATGATTTGTGGCCTTGTAGCTTTTTTACACAAAAGGATATTTTCGGTTTCTTTCTAGCCGTGCTTATGTTGTTTCCCCAGAGGGGGAAAATTAGCTCATCAGTCAAAAAATGTGACACGAACCAAACATGCCCTTAGATTACTCACGGTCATGAGAGTTCACTGCACAAAATCAGTGAAGTAAATCTTGCTTCGGCCTGATGAATGCCACACGTTTATAAGCCGAAATGACTTTTGATCATTCGCATAATCAACAAAGACAAAGTTCAATTGACAAGAATGTCGTCAGTGAGTAAAAAGAAGAACTTGTGTTGAGGATCTGAAACAAAGAGGAAATGATAATAAGCAGTCGGAAGCTGTTTAATCTCTAACTTCATGTTTACAAAGTGTTGCATGTGTAATACGAAGGGTGGTCATTAGAGAGTGCTGTGGCTATCAAAGGTGGTGTTACGCTACAAGGGGGAAACAGAGGATGATAATGTTAGAATTAATTATGTTTCGAGCTATTATGCATTCTGAATCTGTGTTTTTTTCACTGATGTGGCAAAGATGTTCATTTTGTCCTCAAAGTACAAGTACGAAACACGTCAAGGTACAGCTAACAACTTCATACCATTGTCCGATTACAAAGAAATTCTTAAGTCTATTTTTTCCACTGAGCCCATGATTCGGTTTTGCTTCTTCTACCGAGCACAATGTGTGACTCTTGTTGTATGTACATGTTGCATGTCTTTCCACTAGGGGGCTCCAGTACTCCTGTAGCACTTGTTGTTGTTGAAGAAGCGTAACCAGGCGGCCACGGTGTAGTTGAACATGGCAGTGGCGAAATAAATTTGTTCTTAACTAAACGAGGAGTCATCTTTTGCACGAACACAACGTACATCCTTGAAGACAACATGGCCGGTTGAGAACTGGTTCACATACTGGGAGACAGCGGAAGTTCCTCTTTTCTATCAGGGATCTCCAACTCCGGTCCTCGTGATTAATGGATCATTAACAGACTTGTGTAGAATTTGACAACAAGCTGTTGGAGATCCATTAATCTGAGTCAGGTGTGTTGCAGTACTAAAACCTGCAGGACGGTAGCTCACGAGGACCGGAGTTGGAGATCCCTGCTTTTGGACAACACACACACACACACACTTTGTATTCCATCCAAGCAGTTTCTGTTTACATTTCAGTGAACTTGCACATGAACTGTGGTTAGCCTGTTCACATCACAGTAACAGTCCAACCTCTGTCTCCCCTCCCCAGGAAGATATCTGTAACCTGAACCCGTAAAAACTCAGTTCAGCTGGACATGAGATTACTGTCTGTCCCTCTGAATCCAGCGCTGCCTCACTTTACCTAAATAAATTCTACATCTGACAACTGAAGATTTCTCCGGTTTGTTTTGGGGCTTCCAACTAAAGAATCGGGTCTAACGATACTATATTAAATATGTTTCCCTGCCAAACAGGACTAACAAAGTCCTTAAATCTAGCTGGGAATATAATAATAATCATCTAATCACACTCATATGGGCCAGACCATCCTTACATAATACTAGTAGTAAGGTGTTACTTAAATGAATAGTGAAATACAACAAATATGATGAATATGCAGACTGCTATATTTCATGTGTCATATAGATTGTAGGTGAATAGATGAATACTAAACCAAATATTGAAATATAACTAAGTCATACTTTAAAAACACTACAAAAACTTTTAATAAGTCTTTTATAATCTCCCGTCCAAATGTAATTTTCTTTTTTTTTGTGTGTGTGTGAAAGCAGATAAGACTAACAAACGGGTGAGTTAAATCCATTTAGCTTCAGTTCTTTGCAACTACTTTCAAGGTTTTTTTCTAGTTAAAAAGGACGCAGGACACACCACAAATTGCATCTATTCATAGCAGGTGAAGATGTGGAAATTCCTCTAATCAGAGTGCTGCTAAGGCAATAGTCACGAGAATACCCCACCCACATAAATACCAACAAGACAACGATTTGAACTTGTGGTGGCTCTTTTTTTTTTTTCTTTCCATTCACTCACTGTGATCCCCTCCACCTTCTTGGTCATGCAGCAAAGGCACCTGGGAGCCCTGTCCCACTGCAGAGACAAAAACAAACCAAGTTCAAATAAGGACTGAGCAGAACTCAACATTAATCAAACAGAAAGCACGTTACAGTCATCTCAAAGCTTTAAGCACGAATGTTCACAAAAGTTTACACAAATTACAACCAAAATTACTCATCGGTAACTGTCAGAATCAGCACAGAAATACCAAAGTAAGAAAAGAAACGGACACCTACCTGAGCTGGCACCATCGTAGTCACGACTGTAACCGTGAGGAGGCGGGGGTCCGACTCCGTTGGGCAGAGGCAGCAGGGGCATGGCGGGCTGGTTAAGGAGTGGGCCACCGTATGCCGGCTGAGCATACATACTCGGAGCATAGAGTGTGGGAGCGTACTGATTGGCCACCCCTTTCTTCACTGCTTTTCCTGCCTCGTACACTGCGAATTATTGGAACGGAGGTGGGTTAAAGTGGAAAGAAACACTGTGTGGAAATACCTCAAGCTGCAGAGACTGAAGCTAATGCACAGCCACCACTGAAGACCATGAAAGTGTGAGGTGCAAGCTTAAAAGGAATGGCTTCAGATTTTGGCTTTATTTCTTGCCAAAAGCTGATGAGAACATACCACTCTCTGGCCTTTCAATTAAAGACAGGATTGACAGCAGCCTATTACACTACGCAAGGCCAACAAACAGTTCCTGTAAATACTGTTGTTTAACTGTTCTCCTTTTGTAGAGTTGAAACAAACTAAATATGTGTGAATACGAGTGAATTCTTAAACTTGAGAGGCGTTTCTTCAACCTTTTCGGCTGAAGGTTTTCCCCTGGTTCTGAGCTAGGCCAGCCTAAGCTAACATTAATCGGCCACTGACTCTAGTTTCAGATTTACTGTACAGACATGACATGAGCGATCTTCTCCTCTGACTCTCAACAACAAAGCAGGAAAGCGTATTTCTAACATGCCGAACTATTGTTTATGCTGTGCTTCACGCTTTAAAATAATTCTGAACGCCTTCAGTAAAGCAACTTTGCTGCAACAATAAACATCTACCATGATATGTGAATACATTCAAACAATGCTTGAGTACACCACCGCGTGACAAGAATGGCCAAAGCAGAATTTACTCTCAACACAAGATTGGCTGTATGAAGCACATGCATGAAATGAGTGCATCTAAAAAAAAATTGAACACCATGAAAGAAGTTTGATATTTTCCATTAGTCATTTAAGAAAGAATATTTTATACACAGTGGCCTCAAAGCCAAATATTTAAAGCTTTTCTTGCTTTCATTTTGAGTAAATTACTATTCAAACAGTAGGAGTACAAACTAACTCTCAGTCTAGCTCAGTACACGAAACCACAACCACGGGGAGGACTGCTGACTTGAAAGTTGTTCGGAAGACAATTTTCAGAACCCTCTGCAGTGATGGGTGTAATAACTTGACTTATCTTGAGCAGCGTACGTGCAGAGCATAGAAGAAGATAACACGTGATGGATGGTGTATGAGTTTTACTGAAGAGTTGAACTGTTCGAACCCACTTCCTTCATCATACTAGAAACAACACACCCTCCACAAGGATGGACGGCGGGTTGTAGAATAAGTTTGCTCAATCGACTCAACTGACCTGAACTCCAAAAAGGGAAATGATGAACACTCAATCCAAAAATACAGAAAAGCTAAAGGTGGTTCTCAAAGCAATCTGGGCTTCAGGAACACGCCAGCAGTGCCACAGGCTAAACGCCTCAGTGACGCAGTAATTTGTGGTAAAGGAGGCCGAACCAAGAGCTGAGAGAAAAAATAACAACCCTGTTCAGAAGTTGGACATTTCTGGATTTTAAATCCTTATTTTGATTGATCTTATGATAATAATTTGAGATTTTAGAGAATTTTTGATTTTCATGAGCCATAATGATTAAAATGGAATCCAAAAAGGCTTGAAATCTGTCAGTGAATATGGAATATCCATCCATTATCTATACACCGCTTAATCCTCACGGGAGTCTATCCCAGCTGACTCAGGGCGAAGGCAGGAAGCACACTCACATTAACACCTACGGACAATTTAGAATCACCAACTAACCTCAACATGTTTTTGGACTGTGTGGGAGGAATCCAGAGAACCCGGAGAGAACCCACGCTGCACAACTATAAACAATAAATATTAACAACAAATGAGCCTTCCAGCATCAAGCCCTCCTCGTATCTCGACCTCCGTCTTGACAATCCGACAGCCTTGCTATCCGACATTAAAGAAGGTTTTACATTTAGTGTCGGATTATCGAGTCACAATTTACTTTCTGTGCTCAAAGTAAAATAGGCATCCAAAATAAAACTAGAATGTTTGGGAAAGCTGTGTTAAAAATCCCTTAACTTCAGACATTTTTGAGTTGAACACTAAAATTTCATTAGAGGGGGGGCTAATAATTTTGGGCTCAACTGTAATTGGAAGAAAGCAATAGCGACAATGAGTTACACAATTCAGACCCTGACTTTGATTGGTTGTTTGAAACGTCATCCAAGCCTCAGTGTGTGAGGGGAACGATTGAGGAGGAGTGAGAAGGTTCCACCAGGTCTCAACGGGCCGTGTATGCATAAGCTGCATGTATGGGCTAATGCATGAAATCTTTAATAACCTTCAGTCCAATGCTTGAGCTTTAGTACTGACAGCAAAGGGACACATAAGGAGCCAATATTTGTGTAATTCTACGTATTGCATTTTTGATTATATAACAATTAAATAACACCCAGGATCTTTCTGTGTGGAGTCTCCATGTTCTCCCCGTGCAGC